AATGGCTATGTCGGGTGTTAAAAATGTTATGAGGGGGAACCAGCAGTTAGCGTAATGGCTATGTCGGGTGTTAAAAATGTTATGAGGGGGAACCAGCAGTTAGCGTAATGGCTATGTCGGGTGTTAAAAATGTTATGAGGGGGAACCAGCAGTTAGCGTAATGGCTATGTCGGGTGTTAAAAATGTTATGAGGGGGAACCAGCAGTTAGCGTAATGGCTATGTCGGGTGTTAAAAATGTTATGAGGGGGAACCAGCAGTTAGCGTAATGGCTATGTCGGGTGTTAAAAATGTTATGAGGGGGAACCAGCAGTTAGCGTAATGGCTATGTCGGGTGTTAAAAATGTTATGAGGGGGAACCAGCAGTTAGCGTAATGGCTATGTCGGGTGTTAAAAATGTTATGAGGGGGAACCAGCAGTTAGCGTAATGGCTATGTCGGGTGTTAAAAATGTTATGAGGGGGAACCAGCAGTTAGCGTAATGGCTATGTCGGGTGTTAAAAATGTTATGAGGGGGAACCAGCAGTTAGCGTAATGGCTATGTCGGGTGTTAAAAATGTTATGAGGGGGAACCAGCAGTTAGCGTAATGGCTATGTCGGGTGTTAAAAATGTTATGAGGGGGAACCAGCAGTTAGCGTAATGGCTATGTCGGGTGTTAAAAATGTTATGAGGGGGAACCAGCAGTTAGCGTAATGGCTATGTCGGGTGTTAAAAATGTTATGAGGGGGAACCAGCAGTTAGCGTAATGGCTATGTTGCTGGCCTCCCACGTAGTCGACCGCGGTTCGCGTCTCGGACCCGGTAGCCATCCCCCCTGGGGGGTGATTTCTCGCTTTCTGTCTCTATGTCTCTCTCTCTGTCTGGCGAGAACACGCACCCTGTAGCGAAAAACCTCTCCAAAAAAATATATATATATTAAAAAAAATTTTTTAAATGTTATGAGGAATATAAAAAGGGAACTTAATAAGTGGTGAGTCAATCAACATCACGTACAGCGAGACAGCTTGACATTGTGTGTGCCTTGGTGTGATGCTGGAGGAGGTGTTTGGCAACATGACCTATTGCAGAAATTGACTCTGTGCTGAAGCGAGCTTCCAGATCTAATTAACCAGTTACAGTAAATGTGCGGATAGAGAACCAAGGTAAACAATGTTGACCAATTTCAGAAATAGAACATTTTTAAAGGATAAATAACCTGGTTTCTTCAATAAATAAATAGCACAAAAAGAAAGGGGGAGTTTGCATGCCAGGCGCTTGTGAGTGCATGCCCAAGGTCCCAAGAGAGAATGGAGGAGAAGAGATTGCAGCATGGTCATCCCCCCAGGGCGGAGGTGATTTATCACTTTCTGCCTCTCTGTCTCTCTCTATCTTTCTGGTGAGCACAAGTGCCCTATAGCAAAAAACCTTTCCAAAAAGAAAAAGAAAGAAAGAAATGGAGAATTTGAAAATGTTGTAGATTAAGTGAAATTTTAAAAGTTTATAAAACAAATATCCTCTTTATGGGAACTTTGTATTCTAATTCAGACAACTTGGAGGAAAAATAAGTATATTGTTGAGACAATTGTGGAAATTTTAAGATGAACTGAGTATTAGATATTATATAACACATAGTTCTTGTTGATTAGGATTATACACTGGATGATTGGGTCATTGGGAAAGTCGTGATGCATTATTGCATAGAAAAACATAGGAAAATACATCTTGAGTTTCCTGATGACCTAATAAAATGTCTGAAACTCTCTTTCCTGGTTCACTCTCAGAGATCTCCCTGAACATCCACAGGGATGTGAGGCTGGGTGAAGCTGAAGGTGAACTGTGGTGTGAAGACCTCATTGGGAGTGCTTCTCTCTTTCTCTCATGAAAGGAAGGAAGGAAAGAAAGAAGGGATAAGAGAGAGGAAGGAGAGAGAGAAAGAACATTAAAAGCCACAGGATCACAGGAGCTCCAAGGCCTTTCCATGTTTTATCATTTATTGATACATTATTTCTAATGAAGACTGTCTTTCTGTTATTACTCCCCTTTTCACAATCTTTCAGTGATCTCCATTGATTTCAGGCAGCTCAGAGCCCCTTGAAGTGAGACCTCACTACAGGTGACATTCAACTGCTGTGCATCTGCAATGACCAACATAACTGTGTTCCACCTAAGTTCATATGTTGTAATCTCCTATGTAATGATATTAGGAAGTGATGTTGGCCTTCCTAACATTCAGGACTGTGAGAAATACATCTCTGTGTTATTAAGTCACCTGGTCTATGATATTTTGTTATAGCAGCCTAATGGATAAGACAGCACCTGTATTATTGGAATTACCTCCAGGTCCAACAACAAGGGGGACTGCAAACTCTCCTTCAGCACCATGGCCAGTGCCAAGGCCATCCCTGTGGAAACAGGCAGTCACCTGATGTGGATTATCTCACTGACTTAAACATTGATACTGAGAGGGATACTGAGACTATGTTACAAGGAGAATGGACCCTTCTCCCTGTCTCTATTTCCCCCTCCTGGCCTTGCCTTCCCTACCAACTGCATTTCTACAGAAGAAACTAACTTTAGCCTTACTCTAAAGGTGAGGGGATGACTACATTCTGAACTTCGTCCATGGCCTTCACATTCCAGAATAACTCTGACCTTTTCTGATTCTTCTACAGCCCCTTTGTTCCAAATATACTTACCTTCAAAGGATCTTTTAGTCATCCTTTACCGATTAATATAATAAATGACCTATTGAAATCTGACCTAAGTAATGAAAGTTAATACTAAAGAGGTTGGAGTAATTGGGACTTCCTGGAGAGTTTTCATACTACATTTTCCACAGTCCTATAGATTCTGACATAGCATTCACAGCCCCATTCTCAATCCATGGGAAATGCAAGCAGGCTGTGTATTTTGGGAAAGAGGTTCCTGTGAGTGAATGTTTACCTCCAGCAAGAACTACTAGTTTCGAGTTTACTATCTTTTTCCAGGGAAGATTTGCATTCTTAATGCAAATTAATGAACAAAAAAGAAATAACTCTATGGGAACCAGCAGTTAGCGTAATGGCTATGTCGCTGGACTCCCACGTAGTCAACCGCGGTTCGTGTCTCGGACCCGGTGGCTTAAATCTCACGCCGGGCGCGTGTGCGTGCGTGCCCAAGATCCCGAGAGGAGAATGGAGGAGAAGGGATTGCGGCATGACCATCCCCCCTGGGGGGTGATTTCTCGCTTTCTGTCTCTATGTCTCTCTCTGTCTGTCTGGCGAGCGCACACGCCCTATAGCGAAAACCTCTCCAAAAAAAAGAAAAAAGAAATAACTAGATTTCTGGAACAAAGCTAAGAGGAGAATTTTATAGAGGTCCAGCAAAATGCCCTTGTCCCAGAAAGGTCTCCTCTGCAAGTGGCTTTCAGGGTCAGAGGTGTCTAGGCTGTGTGAAGTGTGTGCTGCTATTCTTAAGACACAGGGTCACCAATTAAGTTTCTAAATGGAATGACTTCCTAGACTCAGATTCTAGCTGCTGTGGCTGGCCTTAGGTTTCTGCCTATGCACCTAAATTTTAATTCTTTTTAAAATGAAAGTACTTCATTGTTAAGAAAAGATATGAAACTTAGTAAGCTAACAATGATAGCTGGAGTCAGAGAGTCAATAAAGTCTATTACAAGATTTATAAGCTGTGTGGGCCAGCAAGTGGCATAGTGGTTAAGGTCCTGGAATCTCATGTGGCTGACTATGGTTCAAGCCCAGGACCAGGCAGCTTGAAACTCACACCAGATGCATGTGCATGCATTCCCAATATCCCAAGAGGAGAATGGATGAGAAGAGATTGCAGCATGGCCATTCCTCTCAGGAAGTGATTTCTTACTTTCTAGCTCTCTAGCTCTCTCTGTCTCTCTGGTGAGTGCATGTGCCTATAGCAAAAAATCTCCCCTTCAAAAAAAAAAAAGATTTATAAACTGTAGATTTTCCACAAATAGTATAGGCTCATGGAAAATCAAAGGTTACAACAAAATGAAAGGTAGAGTGGGGAGACCCATTTTGCATTTATATGTAACTAGTGCCAATACGTCAATAGGATGTGTGTGAGGGGAAGACAGGGAAGTGAAGTGAGCAGAGAGGATGTGAGAGTCATGAGCTAGAGGGGGAGTATGTGTGAAGTGCAGAAAGGGGTACAAAGCATGTGAGGAATGCACATTTGCACATACACACTTGTCCACACGTGCGTGTAGTCCCAGATGCTAGAGTGGCTGCTTGGACTTCCAGAACCTAAGAGTTTGTATGAAAGGCAACAAAGGGAACCAAAAGGCTCTATTCACCCCCAAAACTTCCCTCGTGTGCCACTCCGTGATGTACAAGAGCACGGACTTTGGTGTCAGACCTGGCTCCTAACACAACACTGCCTGCCTGAGGAAACCTGCACAACTTATTAACCTCTTGACGTGATTTCCTCATTTGTAAAACCAGGATATTTCTTGGTATTCATAAATGGCTGAGCACACTGTAACACAGAGAAGACAGTCAATAAGCACTAACTTCATAAATTCTGGCCTGTTTCTTAACATGAATCCTAAAAGAAAACTGCACCTTGCCAGTAAAATAACCTCCAATGGAACAATTTTTAAAGTACAGTCATATTCTATGGCTTCTTTATTTTTAACTAGTTTGGTTGGGGGACAGGACTGAGAGGAAAGAATGGGAACAGCATTACCAAACAATTCTCTATTACTTGTGGTTCTTGGGGCTAATAGAGAGTGAAACATGACATCCCAGGATGAGGCGCCCCAGTGGTTTGAACCAAAGAAACCAGGTACATGCATTCTTACTTATAAACAGATTGCCCAGAGCTTGCTGCCTTCTTGTCCCTCGTCCCACCCTCTGACAAAGTCCTAGGATGCTGAAGAACTGGCCAACACTCCTCAGGAAGGGTTGTGAGCTGAGGGCAATTTTCTCAGCAGGCATGGTAATAAGTTTGCTGCAGAAGCCTTCATTCTCTTTGTCTTTTACTGGAAATCAATCGTTAAGTTTCAGCATGTTGTGGTTCTATTGTAAATATTGAGGATTTAGCAACTTTGGAATTGTAAAGCAAATATGTAGTATACATATGGGCCTATGGTACTTTACAAATCTGGAGTGCATCTTAAAACAATTAAAAAGTAATTCTGAAATCTTACCGAGAGTTGCCCAAAGATTTCCTCCCTTACTGCAGGAAAGTCCCCACTATAAGTCAGAGACAATTACTAATGCGTTGCTAGAAGGATATTGAAAAGTTGATTATGTTCTTAAAAATAAAAGTGGTACCCAACTCTCGTGCCTGCTTGCTTGTTTGTTTGTAACCGCTACAGTTTTTTCTTCCTAATGCTATACCAGCTTTGGAGTATTATTGCTTGAACAGTGTTGGAATTCCCACCACATCTAACTGCTGGGTTCTCTGTAGGCATAGACAGGACTTCCTAAGCAATGGACTGGCTACTCAGGAGGACATTAGGCTCTATTAGGAACCTTCTTGTCGTTATTAGAGCTGACACCACCGATGCCCTCGAGTATATTCATGGGCAGAGGAAACACAATGGTAGAATTCTTCTCTGTGGCTACAGTGGCCAAGGTCTGAAGGTAACGCAGTTGGAGGGCCACAGGGGACTCGGCCAGCACCATGGAGGCTGACTTCAGAGATTTGGACGCATTCATTTCTCCTTCTGCCGCAACCACCTAAAATGACAGAAATGCAAGTTTACAATGGTCACCGGTGCTTTCTCTTTCTGGCTCCATCCTGATACTTCTTTGTCATTCTCAGAGTCTCCGCTTTGCCACATGGGCTTCATTTACTTTCTTACTTGGCAAGGATAAGAGTTTTACCTCTTCATGTGATTAGAGAAATGCGAGGAGGTTGCAAGAGGTGGGGAGATATATTTTACAAACTAAAAGTCTCAGAATCTTATTTTTAAATGAAAATAAAAGCACTATTTTTAATGCAAATGGGCACATGGCTATCCTACCCTAGTAATACTCTTCGGGGCATTTTGAGGCCTCACTGCCTGCTACATTTGCAGAGAAGTCTGAAATTCAAGGTTTCCAACTGGATTTTTTGTCATGTTTATTTGTCATGAGAGATGTTTTACTTCATTCTAAGTCGCTAACTTAGTCTCATTATCACAATGTAAAAACCATTTTCAGTTCTCTCAGTTCTTAATTACAAGTAGTAGCAAGTGCTTGCCTGATAATTTTCATTGGAAAACTATTGAACATTCCACTTTCCTAATTCTCAGACTGTCCCAGAATGCCCGAGGCAATACTGAGCTGCCTCATCCATGGGTGTTCACTGCCCTGTGCTTAAGCGATCTCTCATCATCACCAGGCCTCTGCTCCAGAGCTGTTGGCACATGGAAGATAAACCAGATATGGTTAAGAAACACAAGCAGAGAAAAATCTTTATCAGCTCACAAGATTGCCAAGAGATACACAATGGCTTCTAATTTCAGTTGGTTTCTGACAGTTCAGGAAACCTATCCAGACATGAAGGCTGCAGATCCAACAGACTTCCAGACATCTGGGCCAGAGTGCACTTACATTTGTAATTCTGACCTGGGTCTGACTAATCACCCCCTTTTGGTTAGTAGCATTTGACATAGTAGAACAAATGATGCTCAAAAAAACAGGCACCACATCGGCTACACCCACAATGACCAGCTCTACAAAATAAGGAAGATTCCAGGCCCCACCTAAAACTGCTTCACTAGGTCCAACATAGGGCCTGGGAATTGGTCTTCTGTTCTGTTTGCTTTGTTAAATTCTCTCTAGGGAACTCTGCAGCCGCAGTTGGGACCCACTTGCAAAGTTGTTCAGCATATGGCTGTTTTCTTGATGTTGCACCCATGACAACGCTTCCTAAAGGTACAGTAAACTGTTAGTTGCCTTTTTTTTTTTAATTAAGTGAATGTCTTTCTTTCTTTTTTTTTTAATTTTTTTTTTGAGAGGTTTTCGCTATAGGGCATGTGCGCTCGCCAGAAAGACAGGGAGAGACATAGAGACAGAAAGCGAGAAATCACCCTCCAGGGGGGATGGCCACACCGCAATCCCTTCTCCTCCATTCTCCTCTCGGGTTCTTGGGCACGCATGCACACGCGCCCAGCGTGAGTTTAAGCCGCTGGGTCTGGGACGCGAACCACGTTCGACTACATGGGAGTCCAGCAACATAGCCATTATGCTAACTGCTGGTTCCAATGTCTTTCTTTCTTGAGAGAGGAAAAAAAAAGAGAGAGAGAGACTAGCACCCTCAGCAGGTTCTCATGCCATGATCTACTCCCAGCCTTCCCAGCCAGCCAGTATCATGGGCATAAGCACTCACGCCCCATGTGTACGAGCCAGCCTGGGACCTTCCACGTGGATTTGCAAAGCTGTGCCACTAAGCAGCTCCTCATTATCTTTTAGTTCAGAGGAAACTCAATAAAGCTGAAAAAAATATTTCTTATCAAAATAACTGAGAGACCATCTTCCGTTCAGACTCTATCTCTGTGCACACCAGCATTAGACACTGACCCTCCAAGTGTAGACCAAACAGCTCTTACCCTGGCTCTGGCTTCCCGAGTGGCCTCGGCCTCAGCTGCCATGGATCTTTGCAACTGCACAGGGATCCGGACGTCTTTAATTTCCACCCGGGCTACCCGGATCCCCCACAACTCTGTGGCATCATCAAGTAAAGTCTGTTTCCAAATCAAAAGAAAGGATATTGCTCAGAAGATGGGTAATAGGATGTATGTTTCTGATATGTTTTATACTTGTGTGATAAATTCCTGTTTTCTTCTTTCATCTTTTTTTTTTTTTGGATGTATTTTGTATTTGCATTTGGAGTGAGACACTACTAAGGGAGTAGGAGTCAAAATTCTTATTGATCACTTCCTGAGATTTAAAGTGACTGACCTGAAGGATTGCAAAACAAAACCTCTTAGATCACTTAGTGGGCATCTACAATAGCAGCAGGATCCACTCCAAAACCATCCTTAAGGAAATGGGTGATCAAGTCATTTAGATTTGAACAAACAACCCAAATTTACTCGTCACTGGTGTCAAGCACAGAGAAATGCATGGCCTTTTCAGATTTTTGTTCTGGCTCTGCCACCGATGCAGTGAATCATCGGGCTTGTCTCTTAACCTCTCTGGTTCTCGGTTTTCTTATCTATAAAAAATTTCCTTTCAGGAGTGTCAGGAGGTTTGGAGATAACACACATATGATATCTATTAGTGACTGCAACGACTCAATGAATATTATCATTAGGTACTTTTTGAGATAGTATTTATTTTACTCTGTTCAATCTCTGCTCTGTAGCCAGTTTTTAAAAATAAGAAGGAATGTATTTGAAACAGGAGCTAACTAAAGTCAGAGATATTCTTGTCCTTTCTAAAAACTCAAAACCATTAAAAATATCTTGCTGGTGGTCTTGGAAGGGGAGGGGTGAGGAAGCATGCCTTGAGGACAGAAAAGTAGTTCCCTCGAAGGGGAGGGAGCAGAGATCTCTGCTGTCAAATGGCAAGTGATCCTTTGTCTTTTTGTGATCCCTTCAGCAGCCTAGAAAATGGTGAGACCGCAGAGAAGCCAATGACCTAACCATGGCTGGGTAATATCTGAGTTGCCAAAGTTACAGAGCTCTTACAAACAATACGGGGAGTTATCGTGTGGAGCTGATACTACCTCGTTAAACCTTGGGGCCTTTGCTCACTTTAGGCACTAGAGGAAAGGCCAAAAAAAAGGCAAAGTTAAATTTCCTCTTAATAAATGTAGCTCAGAATTAAAATGTAATGTTGTAGGAAAATATACAAATATGATTGTCCATAAACCAGGATGTATAAGAGATGAGATCGATATCTGCTATACCCTTATTGATATTATAATTAATTATAGCTAATAGTTATATAATATGAATTTATTATTAATATTGATGATGTAAGAATTTTCAGAGAATTCTAAGTCTATGTTGTCTCAAATCATTCCTCTTCCAACTTTCACATGCTACTGAAACATTGAAATACACACGTTGCTGAAGAAATTGCTGCACTTTCTGGAGTTAATAAACTAAAAATAAATCTAGTATCTAACCTCTTCATAAAAGACTAAAGTGTACAATGTTAAAACATAATTTTGAATTCCAAAGAAAATGAAAGAAAAAGTACGCAGTTCCTGAGGCTTCCTTTTCCTTCCCAGATGTTTAAATCTGTACCTCCTAATGATACATAAACGCAAACACCAACTAAATCTCACCTCTTTAGAGCAGTCTGTGTGTGTGAAAGTGCATGCAAACATACACCTGAGGAAAGTGTTCTGAATGGCTGGTATTCAATTGGCATTGATAATTGGAATGAATGAAGAAAAAGAATGAATTAAAGATGTAAGTGATTAGTTCTCGTACCTGGATGCTATGAGCAATCTCTTCTCGCCCAGATAAAATCTGAGACAAGCTCTGAGTCCCCAAGACATTTCTCAGGGTGGTCTGAGCCAGCAGAAAGGTGGCTTGGTGGACATCGTTGACATTAGCCACTGCCGAGACAGCGCTGTAGATTCTGTAGTAGACAACTCCATCCACCTGGGTAGTCACGGAGTCTCTGGTGAGGATCTGCAGGTCGAAAACAGGGAAAATTCATATGTTTATTATTGCCACAGCTTAGACAACGTGCCAGCCAGCCCAGTGTCCTCTTCCACAGGAGGAGAGCATTAATGACAGCTCATGCCAACATCACTGGAAATCTGTCCTGGCTTCAGTGTACCTTCCTAGCTGTTTGAAGTTCCAGGGATAGATGTACAGCTACCTAGATGTAGAAGCACACCTATCCTTGTAAATTAATCTTAGAGATGGCAGAAGCTCCAGATTTCCCACAATGAGGGTAGGAACTTTCATTATTTTGGAGATTTTTTTTGCAAGAAAGCATGTATGCTCAACAGAGAGAGAGGAGAGGGGGAGAGAAGATACAGAGGATGATCAATCCTCTTTTCCCCCATTTCCCCTTCCTTTCTGGATGTTGGGCACCCATGCACATGTGACTGGCTTGGTCACGTGGCATCTGGGTCCCTTAACCACAGTGCTGTGGGCTAACATAAGTACTTTTGTTTTAAAATGTAATAGCTAAGATTTTCCATAATTCTACTTTTAAACAGAAAACGCTTGTTTCCTAGATGCCCGGAATCTAGGTGACTTTCATTTTTCATCAGGCTTGTTGTAATAGCAGAGGTTTTCCATAATTCTACGATTTTAAACAGAAAACGCTTGTTTCCTAGATGCCCGGAATCTAGGTGGCTTTCATTTTTCATCAGGCTTGTTGAAGCAGTGCCTCTCAGAAAACATAGATGGCACCAGAGACCATGTGCTATAGTCAAGTAAAATAAAATCAGTTTAACTTTCTAGAGAAGCTTGTACCAATCATGTTGAATTCTATCATGAGGTATTTTGGGGTGAATGAAAGATTTCTAGGTACCATGGGAGCAGAACCTAGAACTGTCCAGTACAGAACCAGAAAACACCCACCGTAGGTCACTCAGCCTGGCAAGTTCTCCTATGGCAGGCCAAAGTTGAAACTAAGTACCCTGCAGCTCCCAAAAGTGGCCCGGCAGCGTCACCAGTGGGCCTTGCTTGACTTCCCCGGACCAGAGAGAGAAAATGAACCTTCACTTATAAACGTTGATTTCTGCCTTCTCACACCTTCGTCCTCTGACATCCTAGGCCCCCCTCACATACTCTTTCCTCTCCCTAGATCACTTTGGTTATGAGAGGGTGACATGGTTTGGGTCATTTATTTGTAGTACTTCAGAATTAAAAACACATATTTAAAATGCAAACATGGATGTGCCTGTGCAGCCTTTGCTCTTTCTGCATGTTCATCCCTCTCTGTTGTATCCAAATACAATTTTAAGTAAAAAACAAAGGTGAGAGTTCATCATGTAGCCCAGAAGTTGAGTGTTTTGCATAGCAAGCCAGATCCCACATACCACCACAGTTCAAATCCCAGCCCCAGTGGTTTAAAAAACATACCAGACACATGTGAGTACATACCTAAAACCCTGACAGGATGGAAGAATGTCAGAAAAAGGATTATGGCATGACTATAATTCATTGTAAGGTGTTTTCTCTCTCTCTTTCTCTCTCCCTGGTGATGACACAAACTCTCTATTAAATAATAATAATAATAATAATAATAATAATAATAATAATAAATGAAGGTAAGTATGACCACCCTTGGTGACGCAGGTGGTAGGACACTTCTATACAATGCTGGAGTCATATGGACAAGCCTGAGGTTCAGATCCCATGTATCCCTGAATAAGCCTGTAGTCCTGGATGGCTGGAAGGCTAGGGGAAGTAGCACAATGTGGCCCCTCATTCTCATTCATGAAGTAAATAAATAAATAAACTTTAAAAAGAGAGAGATTTTCTTTAAAAAAAAAAAAAAATCAAAGATTGGGCTAGCATGGCTTGGTGGTTAAGGGAGCTGGGTCCCACATGGTTGACTCCACAGATTGAGTCCCGGACAGGGCAGTTTGAAAATCATGACAAGAGTATGTGCATGGGTGCCTAAAATCCTGAGAGGAGAATGAAGGAGAAAAGATTGTGGTGTGGCCACAAAATGATTTCTCACCACTTCCCCTCTATCATTCTCTCTCTAGTGAGCACACGTGCCCTACAACAATTTAAAAAAAAAAAAAATTGAAATTACTAATGTAGATATCACTTTTAAAAAAATCTTTGGAGAAGGTGATGGAGAGTAATATAACCATCCACCACCCTCTGACAGACTCAGTTACACCCTTTAAACAGTGTGTTATCTTTCCTAAGCATCTGTTATTTCTTCATCTCAGCTTCCCTGCCAACTGAATCTTTTTTTTTTTTCAGTGTTCCTCCCACTCAATCATTCCAAGTCTCCTAGCAATTCAACCCTTCCTTTGGCTTCATTACTTGGCAAAACGGAACCCAGCAGCATCAGGATCCAACTAGAGTTCTTCAAACACTCAAACAGGTCTCTGGGGGGACACTGTTTGAAACACATTGTAAGATTCTGACTACTCATGTAATGGAGAAGACACGGGTTTTATTTCTAATAACAGATCTTTAATCAGAGAATTACCTCCTGTGGAGGGATGTTGCAAGTAACTGTTCGGAGATCAACTTTGACAAACACGTCTATGCAGGGTAGGACCAGGATCAAACCTGTAAATAAAATCAGTTTAAAATGTTGCCCTATTGAAAACAACTATGATAAATAATCTCCTATCTAGATGGTACATCGTTTTCATGGGGTTATCTGTACATGTTTCTCAGATGACCTTCAGTATATAGAGGAAAATGATTCTCTATCTGTCAGTGACAAGAGAAAAGTGGTTGCCTAAAAATTGAAGTCTTTGGGACCAGCAGTTAGCGTAATGGCTATGTCGCTGGACTCCCACATAGTCGACCGTGGTTCGCGTCCAGGACCCGGTGGCTTAAAACTCATGCCGGGCGCGTGTGCGTGTGTGCCCAAGATCCTGAGAGGAGAATGGAGGAGAAGGGATTGCTGCATGGCCATCTCCTCTGGGGGGTGATTTCTCGCTTTCTGTCTCTCTATCTCTCTCTGTCTGTCTGGCAAGTGCACGCGCCCTATAGCAAAAAACCTCTCCAAAAAAAAAAAAAGAAAGAAATTGAAGTCTTTTGGTAAGAAGCTGAAGATCCTTGACATTTAATTTTTAGATTTTTATTTCAAAACAATCTATTTCAAATTATTGTTTAATTTAACATAATTTAAAAGGAATATTTTGGAAATCAGTTTCCTAATCATAAAAATAACTATATAAAAGATACAAATAAAAGGTTTTTGACCTTAATTATCAATGAGTGCCAACTTTTTTTTTTCTTTTTGGAGAGATTTTCACTATAGGGCACGTGCGCTCGCCAGACAGACAGAGAGAGACATAGAAACAGAAAGCGAGAAATCACCCACCAGGGGGGATGGTCACGCCGCAATCCCTTCTCCTCCATTCTTCTCTCGGGATCTTGGGCACGCACGCACATGCACCCGGCGTGAGTTGTAAGCCACCAGGTCCGGGACGTGAACCGCAGTCGACTATGTGGGAGTCCAGCGACATAGCCATTACGCGAACTGCTGGTTCCTAGTGCCAACTTTCTCAGTCATCTTCAATAGTATTAAAGAAGTACTGAATTGGGATCAGCAGTTGGCATAATAGCTATGTCGCTGGACTCCCATGTAGTCGATTGCGGTTCGAGTCCCAGGACCAGGGGCTTAAACTCACGCTGGGCGCATGTGCGTGCGTGCCCAAGATCCCGAGAGGAGAATGGTGGAAAAGGGATTGTGGCATGGCCATCACCTTGAGGAGCGATTTCTCACTTTCTGTCTCTCTGTCTCTGTCTGATGAGCGCACGTGCTCTATAGCAAAAACCTCTCCCCACTACCCCCCCAAGAAAAGAAGTACTGAATTAAAATATTCCCAGGGTTAAGGCCAACAGGTGGCATGGTGGTTAAGGCACTGGCCTCCCACATGGCTGACCACAGTTCGAGTCCTGGGCCTGGCAGCTTGCTTTCTCACTTTCTCTCTCTCTCTCTCTCATGAGTATATGTGTCCTATAGCAAATAAAAAAATAATAGTATTGGGCCCGCAGGTGGCATGGTGGTTTAGAGCACTGGACTCCCCCATGGCTGACCAGGGTTCGAGTCCTGGACCCAGTGACTTGCTTTCTCACTTTCCCTCTATGTCTCTCTATCTCACTCTATCCCTCTCTGGTCAAATTAAAATAAATTAATTAATTAAATAAAGTGCAATAAAATAATTCCTTTAAAAATATAATAGTAATATTAAGTAATTCTTTTTTAAAAACCCCAGAGTCACTGACACTAAACAAATTAGAACTAACAGATAGTCTGTGGTCACATTCTAGTTCAAGCACAATGGCATTCCTCAATTGTGAATATGTTTCCTTCTCTTTGGGTTGTGAACTATTTAGATTTGGGGCTAGATTGGAGAAGAATGGGAATAAAGAATACCCAGCCAAAGAGAGACACCTCAGAAAGACCACCCACTTGCCAACATGTAGATTTGACTTCTAGCTACCACAAATCTGAGAAAATAAATTTCTGCTCTTTTTTAAAAATAATAACAATGTATATTTCAAAATGGCTAAAGTAATATATTTTTAAATATTTTTATTGGTAAAAGATAAGCATGTGAGAGGAAAAGAAACCATAAGGTTAGAACAACAAGGCATGCAATGCAGCAATGCAAAGGCGTGACTTCATTTCCATTTATCAGGAGGTTTCGTGGTATCGATTCGGTTTTCAAAGCAGAAACCATTTTTAGGTTGAACGTCATGTTAAGGGCTGGTAGCACCAGCAGAAAACACAGCTAGAGGCTATCTTTCTTTTGGCCTCTGGACCTTTCTGAGCCTTGTAGTAAGAATCATTACCCAGTTTGCTTCCTTTTTTAGTTCCAGGTCACTGTGATTAAGATCATGGTCTTTAGAACTAGGCAGAATTAAGTCCCCACCCTAACACTTGGTAACCTCGTGACCTAACTTTTCTCAACTTCAGTTACCTTTTAGATGTAAGATGGTAGTGAAGATTAAGCATGATCCAACATGAAAATAAAATAAAGCACTAAACACCATGTTGGGTATTTATTAAGTGTTCAAGAAATGGCAGATTTATTGTTAATATTTTTATTACGAAAGAGTAATTTATAATTTACGAAAGTGTAGAGGTTTTTCCATTAGCAATTTGGCTTATTTCCCTCTGGTCTTCATGACATTCTGAGGTAACTCATTAACCCCAGAGACATGTATGACGAGAGTTTTTATCATGGGACATTTAGTAGTGAAATCTCCTGGGAAAATTCATTTAAAAGAGATGCATTTTTCTCTAGAGTCCTCCAAGTTACGGTTTTTCTGCCTCTCTCAGACCCAATTTTATTTTAACTTATAATCAACCTCACCAGGTAGAAAATGGCTGGGAAGCATTTAATCTTGTTCTGTTATACTACCATTGGATAAATTTAATGCTTCTGTTTTGACAAACTCCTAAGAACATCCATAATAAGTCATTGTTGCCCTCTTCAGCCCTTTTAGGAAATTAGACTAGTAGAATTATACTAGAAATGGCAAAGCCTCCTTTATAAAGTTTTGCTTCTGAAGCTCTTATTTTTTCATTTAGCAGATATCTGAGTGCCTCACACAGCTTGTGACTAAGTACAAAGTGCACAGAGTATCACAGTGCCTAAGAAAGCTCCTGTCCCCAGAGATGTTACAGACTGAGGCCAATTTATTCAAGAAAACCATTACAGGGGGCAGAAAACAAGTCTTAATAGGGAAGTAGAGCCAATATCCATTTTTTTCCCCATATGTCTTCTAATATGCTATTTTGAAAGTTCCTCCCTTCATGAATATTGGAATTAACCATATGACATTTCCATTGTATGAGTTAAAAGCAAATATTAGCAATTTTATAGTTTAAATATTGATCAAGAATACACATCTACCCTGTACTTTGGGGCTCCAAGGAAGATGGGTTTGTTCAGTGCCAACTGAGATAGACTTCACTAAGAATTGATAAGTATTAAATTAATATCTTATTTCTAGGGAGTTTTAGTATTTTATGCCACCCTGCACACCTGCCTACCCTCCAAAAAAAGTTTCCATGTTTTTATAATATGAACAATTTAGAACATCTTTCCTCCGGAGGTGACAGAGGAAGTATAGAAATAAACATCTAGGGGACTAGCAGTTGGCGTAATGGCTATGTCACTGAACTCTCATGTAGTCGACCACAGTTCGAGTCCCGGACCTGGTGGCTTAAACTCACTCCAGGCACGTGTGCGTGCGTGTCCAAGATCCCAAGAGGAGAATGGAAGAGAAGGAACTGCAACATGGCCATCCACCCAAGGGGGTGATTTCTCACTTTCTGTCTCTCTGTCTCTGTCTTTCTGTTGAGCGCATGCGCCCTTTTGTGTGAGCCAAGCCGCCGTAAGCAAAACCTCCCCAAAAAAAAAAAAAAAAAAAAGAAAGAAATAGACATCTAGTATACAATTGGGTTGTCAGAAAAGTTATGACCCGTTTTTGCATAGAAAAATAGAAAAAAAGTGTCACGAGTTTTCCGACAACCCAACAGGTGTTAGAAAACCCAAAACTTGTTCCTATATACAACTACAAGGACAATCATAGGTAAATCGTCAAATCTATATTGGCCTCAGATTCTTTATTTTCAAAACCAGGAGATTTGGCGAATGAGTTGTACAGTGGCTTCCCATTCTATAATATCTTTCCATTAATCTACTTACCAGGAGATAAATTAACCTTTTATTTTCACTAGCTCTTTTTTGAAGAATGAAGATTTAAAAAATAGCTCCTTCCATGCTCTCCCTGAGTAACTTACTGGTCTACAACAGCCATGGACTCTCCTCTTGTTCTCCCAGCACCTCCTTAGTGGCCCAGGTGAGATGATGTTTCCCAAAGCACCAAGAACCACCCTTTGCTCACTGACCCTCTCAGAGAGAGATTTATAAACAGGTCTAGAATTCAAAACTCTCACACTCGTGGTCATTCCCACCAGCTCGCATAATAAGACAAATTCTTCTTTTGTACAGAAACACAAGGCTTCCAGCTTCCAGTGATTTTTCTCTCAATGGGCGCCACTAGGGGTAATAATTGGTAGTAGAAATGAAGCAGGCAAGACTCCATCTTGGAGGAGGGCCTCCACTATAAACCGTTAAATTCCTATGACTAGAAACTTGCTTTCTCCTCCTTTGCCTAAGAGTAAACAATGATTAACACTCCTATTGTCTTTAAACTTCATTCCTGATATGGAGAGACCCTGAATTCATGAATAACTCAAAGTTGATAGCTGTCTAAGGTTTCTGCCCTCCAGCAAACTTACTGCCCCTCCCTAGAGCTACAGGGTAACCTGAAAACCTTGGGTGGATTAGCACTTTGAATAGATTAGTACCTTGAATAGATTAGTCTTCCTGTGGAGAGTTCTGTGCCCGAGACCGCCCCTTCCCCAATTCTCCCATAAAGACCATGTCCAACACCCAGCGGGATCGGAGTTTGAGAGTGCTAACTCCTTCATGTCTGCCGACGTGATAAGCAGTTCTCCTAATCTCTCTGAGTGCTGCTTTCCATTCTTCAGCATCTGGTTTTCTGCAACAGAAATATGAGGTGCCTGTGATTGTTGCCAGGGGCAGCCCTAGTTTCATACCTGGCCCTTTTGCTTTGTCAGCCTGGATGCGTCCCAGCCGGAATACAACAGCACGTTCATACTCCTTAATGATCTGAGAGATTAAGGGAGAGCATTTAGTTTTAATAGTTCATCAGCTTCTACAAAGAGCCCAATTTATTTCCCAGGGTATTACCTTCAAGCACATCCATATGGAGATGGGGAAGGTAATGATCATCAACAACAAAGAAAGAGAAAACAGAATCCAGCCACATACACCAAGCTTCTTACTGTCGACACCTAGGAAATGAGAAGGAAGTGAGCCTGTAATCAATGTAGTTCTTAGAAAACTCCTACATGACTGACCTCAGTTTGAGTTCCTGACCAAGTGGCTCGAAATCACACCAACATGTGTGCCTGTGTTCCCAAAATCCCAAAGGAGAGTAGAATAGACGAGAAGGGATTACAACATCGCCATTCCCTTTAGGGGATGATTTTTCACTTTCCCTCTCATTGTCTCTCTTTCCTGCAAGCTTACATACGTGTACTATGACAAAAATCTTAAAAAAAAAAAAAAGAGGAAAGAAAAGAAAAGCCATCCAGCTCTATGTGGACAAGGCAATCACCCAGACAGCTAGACAATCTTGATGTGATTGAGGAGGAAATCTAAATCCATCCATATCTACAAATTTACTTAAATACACACAGTGTCACAATGTTTATTCAGGTGTTCAGAAATTAAAATTGACTAGAAGGGTCTCATGGCAATCGACAGCAATAATTATCATTACTTTTATATAGGGCTGCCATGGTTTATTAATCTCAAAATACATATATCAATGTTTCTCAAAATGGGATCCATGAGCCATCCACACTAGATTCACTGAATTCCTAAGTCGTGTGAATTCTCTAGGTGAAAGTCAAAGCAAGAGGGAAACAATGGGGCACATGAGAAAGTCTTCTGAAGTGTCATGAAATACTGGTTTATAGATGATTCTCTTTTTTAAATTTTTAAACAATTATTTATTTAACATTATTATTGACATCATTATTGTTTATAAATGTGTTTGCCATAGGGCATTTGCACTGGGAGAGAAACAGAGACAGTGATAGGGAAAGTGAGAAATCACTCCCCAAGGGTAGGGGACATGCAGCAATATCTTCTCCATTCTTCTCCTAGGATCTTGGGCATGCATGCACACACACCAGGCATGATTTTCAGGCCACCAAATCTGGGACTTGAACCACGGTCGGCCATGTGGGAATCCAGTGACATAACCACTACATCATCTGCTAGCCCCTATTATTGTTATTTTTTAATTTGCCTAGAGAGAGACAGAGAGAGAGGAGGAAAACGTGAGAAAGCAAGCCGCCAGGTCCAGGACTTGAACTGCAGTCAACCATATGGGAGTTCAGTGTCTTAACCACCATGCCACTGCCAGTAGGTGATTCAGCTACCAATTCTGTGGCCTTAGGCAAACCACTCAATCACCCTGAGTCTCCATTTCTTCACCAATAGGATGGGTATATTAGTTGTCTATCTTAGATTTTTGCTGGGTTGCTTTTATATGGCCCCTGGCCAACACATTAACACCTACATTAGTGAATATGTATTACTATGATAATTCATATATTACATATAGGTACTGTAGGAACTTGACATACCTTAATATTTGATTTTTAAAAACTTTTCTTAGAATCTGTCACTTTAGGGGAACCAGCAGTTAGCGTAATGGCTAGTTCGCTTGACTCCCACGTAGTCGCCCGCAGTTCGCGTCCCGGACCTGGTGGCTTAAAACTCACGCCGGGTGCGGGTGCGTGCGTGCCCAAGATCCCGAGAGGAGAATGGAGGAGAAGGGATTGCAGCGTGGCCATCCCCTCTGGGGGGGGATTTCTCACTTTCTATCTCTCTGTCTCTGTCTGTCTGGCGAGCACATGCGCCCTATAGTGAAAAACCTCTAAAAAAAAAAAAAAGAATCTGTCACTTTAGGGGAACCAGCAGTTAGCGTAATGGCTAGTTCGCTTGACTCCCACGTAGTCGCCCGCAGTTCGCGTCCCGGACCTGGTGGCTTAAAACTCACGCCGGGTGCGGGTGCGTGCGTGCCCAAGATCCCGAGAGGAGAATGGAGGAGAAGGGATTGCAGCGTGGCCATCCCCTCTGGGGGGGGATTTCTCACTTTCTATCTCTCTGTCTCTGTCTGTCTGGCGAGCACATGCGCCCTATAGTGAAAAACCTCTAAAAAAAAAAAAAAGAATCTGTCACTTTAGGGGAACCAGCAGTTAGCGTAATGGCTAGTTCGCTTGACTCCCACGTAGTCGCCCGCAGTTCGCGTCCCGGACCTGGTGGCTTAAAACTCACGCCGGGTGCGGGTGCGTGCGTGCCCAAGATCCCGAGAGGAGAATGGAGGAGAAGGGATTGCAGCGTGGCCATCCCCTCTGGGGGGGGATTTCTCACTTTCTATCTCTCTGTCTCTGTCTGTCTGGCGAGCACATGCGCCCTATAGTGAAAAACCTCTAAAAAAAAAAAAAAGAATCTGTCACTTTAGGGGAACCAGCAGTTAGCGTAATGGCTAGTTCGCTTGACTCCCACGTAGTCGCCCGCAGTTCGCGTCCCGGACCTGGTGGCTTAAAACTCACGCCGGGTGCGGGTGCGTGCGTGCCCAAGATCCCGAGAGGAGAATGGAGGAGAAGGGATTGCAGCGTGGCCATCCCCTCTGGGGGGGGATTTCTCACTTTCTATCTCTCTGTCTCTGTCTGTCTGGCGAGCACATGCGCCCTATAGTGAAAAACCTCTAAAAAAAAAAAAAAGAATCTGTCACTTTAGGGGAACCAGCAGTTAGCGTAATGGCTAGTTCGCTTGACTCCCACGTAGTCGCCCGCAGTTCGCGTCCCGGACCTGGTGGCTTAAAACTCACGCCGGGTGCGGGTGCGTGCGTGCCCAAGATCCCGAGAGGAGAATGGAGGAGAAGGGATTGCAGCGTGGCCATCCCCTCTGGGGGGGGATTTCTCACTTTCTATCTCTCTGTCTCTGTCTGTCTGGCGAGCACATGCGCCCTATAGTGAAAAACCTCTAAAAAAAAAAAAAAGAATCTGTCACTTTAGGGGAACCAGCAGTTAGCGTAATGGCTAGTTCGCTTGACTCCCACGTAGTCGCCCGCAGTTCGCGTCCCGGACCTGGTGGCTTAAAACTCACGCCGGGTGCGGGTGCGTGCGTGCCCAAGATCCCGAGAGGAGAATGGAGGAGAAGGGATTGCAGCGTGGCCATCCCCTCTGGGGGGGGATTTCTCACTTTCTATCTCTCTGTCTCTGTCTGTCTGGCGAGCACATGCGCCCTATAGTGAAAAACCTCTAAAAAAAAAAAAAAGAATCTGTCACTTTAGGGGAACCAGCAGTTAGCGTAATGGCTAGTTCGCTTGACTCCCACGTAGTCGCCCGCAGTTCGCGTCCCGGACCTGGTGGCTTAAAACTCACGCCGGGTGCGGGTGCGTGCGTGCCCAAGATCCCGAGAGGAGAATGGAGGAGAAGGGATTGCAGCGTGGCCATCCCCTCTGGGGGGGGATTTCTCACTTTCTATCTCTCTGTCTCTGTCTGTCTGGCGAGCACATGCGCCCTATAGTGAAAAACCTCTAAAAAAAAAAAAAAGAATCTGTCACTTTAGGGGAACCAGCAGTTAGCGTAATGGCTAGTTCGCTTGACTCCCACGTAGTCGCCCGCAGTTCGCGTCCCGGACCTGGTGGCTTAAAACTCACGCCGGGTGCGGGTGCGTGCGTGCCCAAGATCCCGAGAGGAGAATGGAGGAGAAGGGATTGCAGCGTGGCCATCCCCTCTGGGGGGGGATTTCTCACTTTCTATCTCTCTGTCTCTGTCTGTCTGGCGAGCACATGCGCCCTATAGTGAAAAACCTCTAAAAAAAAAAAAAAGAATCTGTCACTTTAGGGGAACCAGCAGTTAGCGTAATGGCTAGTTCGCTTGACTCCCACGTAGTCGCCCGCAGTTCGCGTCCCGGACCTGGTGGCTTAAAACTCACGCCGGGTGCGGGTGCGTGCGTGCCCAAGATCCCGAGAGGAGAATGGAGGAGAAGGGATTGCAGCGTGGCCATCCCCTCTGGGGGGGGATTTCTCACTTTCTATCTCTCTGTCTCTGTCTGTCTGGCGAGCACATGCGCCCTATAGTGAAAAACCTCTAAAAAAAAAAAAAAGAATCTGTCACTTTAGGGGAACCAGCAGTTAGCGTAATGGCTAGTTCGCTTGACTCCCACGTAGTCGCCCGCAGTTCGCGTCCCGGACCTGGTGGCTTAAAACTCACGCCGGGTGCGGGTGCGTGCGTGCCCAAGATCCCGAGAGGAGAATGGAGGAGAAGGGATTGCAGCGTGGCCATCCCCTCTGGGGGGGGATTTCTCACTTTCTATCTCTCTGTCTCTGTCTGTCTGGCGAGCACATGCGCCCTATAGTGAAAAACCTCTAAAAAAAAAAAAAAGAATCTGTCACTTTAGGGGAACCAGCAGTTAGCGTAATGGCTAGTTCGCTTGACTCCCACGTAGTCGCCCGCAGTTCGCGTCCCGGACCTGGTGGCTTAAAACTCACGCCGGGTGCGGGTGCGTGCGTGCCCAAGATCCCGAGAGGAGAATGGAGGAGAAGGGATTGCAGCGTGGCCATCCCCTCTGGGGGGGGATTTCTCACTTTCTATCTCTCTGTCTCTGTCTGTCTGGCGAGCACATGCGCCCTATAGTGAAAAACCTCTAAAAAAAAAAAAAAGAATCTGTCACTTTAGGGGAACCAGCAGTTAGCGTAATGGCTAGTTCGCTTGACTCCCACGTAGTCGCCCGCAGTTCGCGTCCCGGACCTGGTGGCTTAAAACTCACGCCGGGTGCGGGTGCGTGCGTGCCCAAGATCCCGAGAGGAGAATGGAGGAGAAGGGATTGCAGCGTGGCCATCCCCTCTGGGGGGGGATTTCTCACTTTCTATCTCTCTGTCTCTGTCTGTCTGGCGAGCACATGCGCCCTATAGTGAAAAACCTCTAAAAAAAAAAAAAAGAATCTGTCACTTTAGGGGAACCAGCAGTTAGCGTAATGGCTAGTTCGCTTGACTCCCACGTAGTCGCCCGCAGTTCGCGTCCCGGACCTGGTGGCTTAAAACTCACGCCGGGTGCGGGTGCGTGCGTGCCCAAGATCCCGAGAGGAGAATGGAGGAGAAGGGATTGCAGCGTGGCCATCCCCTCTGGGGGGGGATTTCTCACTTTCTATCTCTCTGTCTCTGTCTGTCTGGCGAGCACATGCGCCCTATAGTGAAAAACCTCTAAAAAAAAAAAAAAGAATCTGTCACTTTAGCTCATTATATTAGATGTCTTTCTGCTAATCACATATAGTGATAGCAGGGACATTTTGATTTAATGAATATTACACTGCAGTAAGATGGGACCGAGTTCAAATTCTGGTTCAACCAACTAAAAGTGTGTAGTTTTCTTTCTTTCTTTCTTTCTTTCTTTCTTTCTTTCTTTCTTTCTTTCTTTCTTTCTTTCTTTCTCTTTCTTTCTTCTTTTTGTTTTTTGTCAAAGGGCCTGGGCATTCACCCAAAAGCAACAGGAGAGGGAAATTGAGAAATCACTCCCCAGGGGCGAGGGGGGATGACCACACTGCAATCCCTTCTCCTCCATTCTCCCTCTGGGGTTTGGGGCACACACACACATGCACCTAGCATGATTTTAACACTGCCAAATTCGAGACTTATCCACAGTGAACCATGTGGGAATCCAACTCCTTTACCACCACCCTACCCACTGGCTCCAAACTGTGCAGCTTTAATTACGTCAATCGCGTAATTCCTCCAGTTTCAGGATCCTTGTTTATAAATCATGAATCTGTTATCAAATGTGAAGGGTCTGACTGACCCTTTTATTTAGAAGACTTTATTGCCACTGTTTTACCTCCTTTTAAATTCTCCCTCCTCTTTGTTCCCTCCTTGACCCACATTCTTAGCCCCACATTCCCCTCAGGGGATTTGCGTTCTCCACACACAGCTTTAGGACTAATTATATACACTAGCCGGCTCCACCCAGAAGGTCCACAGACACCATGGCTCTCTCTACCTTAGATAATGCCTTCACTGTCCACCCTATTGCTCAGCTCAGAGACGGGTCATCATGCCACTTCTCTACCCAGCTACAGAGTTAAAGCCATTGAGTTTAAGTGACATCACCTTAAATCCACCCTCACTTACCCATTTTACTGCTACTGATTCTTTGAGACCCAGGACACGTTTATGAATATTCAGAAGTATTCTAGGCTTTTACTGCTACAGACAGTGCTGTGATAAATATTTCTAAATGTGTGAAGTTTTTTTTTAATTTAGTTTTTTTTTTCTTTCTTTTATAACAGAGAGAAGGAGAGAGAAAGAGCACTGCCAACAGGATCTTGATGCCAGAATCTACCTCCAGCCTCAGCCAACCTCAGATAATGGGCATGGCCATGCCTAGCATATCAGGGAGGTCTCTGGACTTGAACCCAGAACCTTTCTAAGTGGATTGGTCTCACAGAAACTCGTGTTTACCACTGCAACACTGTCTGGACCTGGAAAGGTGTGTTTTTCTGCCTTTATGGAGGATAAATTCCTGACAGTGGCTGTGTTGTTACGTCAAAGAGATTTGTATTTACAGTTTTGATTGATGGTAAATGAGCTTCAGAGAGTTTGTGCCAACCTAAACTCTCACCGACAGTATGCCTAGACCTGTTCCCACATATTATGTCTTCATTATATCCTTTCAGTCTTTTCAATTGTTATAGTCTGATTTTTAAAAACCTAAGTTTTGAACACAAATTTAATATTAAAACTTTTTAGTACAAGGACTAGCGGTGGTGTGGTGGTTAAGGCATTGGACACTCACACATGTCTGAACATGGTTCGAATCCTGGACCTGGTGGCTTGTTTTCTAGCTTTCCCCCCCCCTCTCTCTGGTCAAAATAAAATAAATGAATGAATAATAAAAATTAAATAAATAATTCTTTAAAAGAAAAACTTTTTAGTACAAATATCCTTCTATAGGATCTAAATACATATGAAGGTATATTCTGCATAATAAGGGCTTGCCTAAGTATTCCAAAGTTTAAATTTCTAAAATATCACCTTTCAACTCCTCAGATACATGGTGAAATGGATCAGACTACCATGCAAGGTTAAAAAAAAAACTTGATGCATTTTTATAGAAACTTGTTGTGTTTTATTTATTGGTGCTTTTGTTATTGCTATTAATAACACAGCCTGTATATAAATATTCTCACTGAGCAAAAATATCCAAGCAACTAACCCCTATGACTATTTTCTCCTCGGTCCCACTTTTATCTAGAGAAGTTCCGTAGTTATCAATTCGATGTATATCTTTATAGCTTATAGATCCCTTTCTACATACTTACATATGCATTTAGAAAATACATGGCCATGATGTGTAGATTTTATTTTGTGATAAATGGCATCACACTGAACCTAAATTTCTAATTTTTAAAACCTTAATATAAAAGTAAGGGCTATCAGGTGGTATGGAGATTAAGGTAGCTGGATCCTACATGGCCAACTGTGCGGCTGGAATCCTGGAGCCAGCAGCTTGAAAAACACATTGGGTGCATGTGTGTGTACCCAAAATCTGAGAGGAGAGTGAGGGAGGGATTGTCACATGGCCTTACCTACTGGGAGAAGATTTCTCACTTTCTCCCTCATGAGCATATGTGCCCAATAGCAAATAAATAAATAAATAAATAAATAAATAAATAAGTGGTATTTTGGAGATATTTTAAAGTCATTACAGTCACATCTATCTCATATTTCTTAACTGTTGCATGTTCATTCATCCTAAATCCTAAATTAGCTTATTTAGCCACCCTCCTATGGCTTGACGCTATGGTAACTTGCAGTTTTGCCTTCACAAGCAACAACTGTGCTCAGATATGGCCGGCACAGCAGTATGCAGTCCCACGGAATCTTGGTTAAAAAAATGTTGAGAAGGCAGCACAGTTCCTGCCACCTTTGGCGTGTGGTTTGCTACTTGCTGACACTGTAATCTTTGGTGTTCGGACACCTTGGGTAGCTATGAGGCTGTGATTACAGTAGCTGGACTCCTAAAAAAGTACCCTGTTTAATGCCCTGAGCCAAACCCTAGGCATTTCTGAAGTTGTCACAGCCTTTATACCAGCTGAATAAGAAAGTATTGGTCAGAAAGAAAACTACCCTGACCTACAGGAGCTCCTCGGAATCCTACGAAGCCCTTGCATCATTTTAGGCATGCGGGAGCGTCCACTCTGGTAAGTTCTGAACATGCTGAGAAAGACAAGAGACAAAGACATGATTTATCTTTCAAGATTTACACCTGAGCATTTGAATCACCCAGGCCACTACTTCTGGGAGACCTGGTGGAGCCTGGGGGTTTCATTAGCTGCCAAGGCTGTGCATGTTCTTGGCAGCTTCCCTGCAGTCTCTCAGCTCAGCCACGTGAGCACGCACAGCTCTGGGGCCAACATGGAACAAGAGCTGGTTTTGCAGCTTCCAACAGAGCAAATCTCTCAGCCGTTCTCTCTCCATACCCCCTCTCACAGTTAAAACCAGGATGCTGTGCTGAAAACCAATTATGAGGATTATAGTTCTGAATGAAAGGATATGCTAGGATTGTGTTGTAAAGAATGTTTGAAAATCTCCCATACTGCCTTTACTCCAACCCACACAAGGCTCTTGCTAGGGCTTTCCCCTGGGCTCAGGAATGATTGAAGGAAAATGGTCTGTACCACCTCTTTGTTAGCCATTAAGTCCTGACTGCATACATGATGGTTTAGATGTGTCCCCCAAACTCCATGTATTGAATGCATTAAAAGAAGATTTATTCTGGTTATGGTGTTGACAGGTATAGCCTTTGGGAAGTGATTAAACATCAGAAGGGAGCTCCCACAGGCCAACAGGTGGTATGGTGGTTAAGGCAGCTGGATCCCACATGGCCAGCTACGCTGTGTGAGTACCCAACCCAGCAGCTTGGAAATCATGCTGGGAATGTGCGTGTGTTGACCCAATATCCTGAAAGGAGAATGGAGGAGAAAGGACTGGGGCATGGCCATCTCTTGGGTGGGGGGGTGAATTTTTGCTTTCCTTCTCTCTCTCTTTCTCTTGGGTGGGGGAGTGAATTTTTGCTTTCCTTCTCTCTCTCTTTCTCTCTTTCTGTCGAGTGCATGTGCCCTATAGCAAAAACTAAAGGAAAAAAAAAAACGAAAGAGAAAAAGAAAAAGGAAAAGGAAAAGAAAAAAGAATGGCGAGCCCATGACTGAGTTCTCTGGGTCTGTAAGAAGTGGGAATGAGACAGAGACATGACATGCTGTGTGCTTCCTCTGTCTCACCTTCTGCCATGATAATCACCAGCAAGAAGACCCTCTTCAGGATCAGCCTTTTCACCTTGAACCTCCAAAACTATGAGCTAAATAAGTACACTTTTTCTCCTAAATTATCCACACCCAGTCATCTCCATTAGGACAGAAGTCTGACTGCTTTTTCCTGTTCCTAAAATCTCTCCCAGAGGGCCTGGGGTGAGTCATGCCCACAGACATTAACAGACCATTTTGGTCCATTTGATAACAGAAAGCTTCCTTCATTTTGTCCCTGGCATAGTATCCCTGTGATGGGTGAGTCACACCCAGAATCATTAACAGACCATTTGACTTATTGATAACAGGACTTTTCCAACATCCTGTCCTTGAGACAGTATCTTTGACTGCATACAAGCCCGCTTATCTCTGTTAAAGTACACCCTTTGCCCATCCATTCTCAAAACACAGACTCCCCTTTCCAATTACCAACCTAAAAATTGTGGAAGCCACCTATAAACCTATAAGCCCCTGCTTCCACATATCCCGCCTTTTTGGGCCAGACCAATGGAAAGCTCTTCACTAAATTCTAAACTCTCAAAATCAAAATAAAAGAACCCCTGTACCTGATCACTCCAAGAAAGGCATGTTTTTCCTCCTCTCAAGGCCTAGGTCTCTCAAATTTGTGCTTAGAAAAAGTGCATTAATTATTATTTTTGGAGAGTTGGTTATTTCCATCAACACCATTATTGCTCAAGAACTTGACTAAAACGACATCTAACCATCTGTTTGATCCCTATCCACAAATATGTATTTCTGTGTTCAATTATCATATAACCATAAAGCCATCATCCTATGCTTACTTCCTGGTAGAGAATTTTATTTTGCCACACCCCACAAATTTCCCCTGATTTCTCATTTAGTTATTTCAGAAATAAATAAATATCAAGCACTGTGCTAGGGATGAAGATTAGTAGGAGTACAGAGTATGAAATTTGCCAAGAGTTTAAGTCTAGAAGGGGAAACAGACCCTAGGGGTAGGTGTCATGGTATAGTGCAGATTCACTACTTACTTCTAAAAGTCTATGACTAGAAAATAAGTGGAGATTCCCTTCTCTGTGACTGTGACAAAGAACGGCAGAATGTTTAACCACCCTTTTCCTTTCAATCTGCACAGAGGAAAGTAGAAGCATAATGCAGAGAACCTGAAACCCAGAACCACTGACGACCAGGGAACAGGACTCTGAAACTTCAGCTGGAAGGACAATTCCCCCTCTCCCCATAGAGGGCATGTGCATTCAATGGAGAGAAAGAGAGAAAAAGCAACCCTCCATGGGGGATGGTCACCCTGCAGTCCCTTCTCCATCTCTCCCTCCTTTGGTGATTTTGGGAACACATGTGTACGCACCCGGCATGTTCTTTTTCAAGCTGCCGGGTCCAGGACTCACACTGTGCAGTTGACCATGGGATCCAGCTGTTTTAACCACCACATCAAGGCCTGGTCTGGGGCTTTCAAGATAACCAGGCCAACTCTTTGTAGCCAGAAAATTTGCTGGTTAGTGTTACCATCATCATCTTAATCACTCTGTTAAAGAAGGTGGCACCCACAAATTCCACAAACTGACAAAAATTCAGACCTACTTTTACTGACTTTGGTAGTGAAACAAAAAGCTTCACTTGTAGAGGCATTTCCCTGGGATTTGGTTCCTGGTGCTTAGAAGCAGTCCTTCCTGCCAGAGGAGATCATCATTGGGTTTTGGCAAAGACTCAAAGGCGGACGGAGGGAAGAGTGGGAAAGTTTTATAGTGGAAAAAAGGGAAGGCTCAGGCATGCCATGGCTGGAGGCTGTGGGTGCAGGGACGCTAGCATGGGCTTACTGGAGGGAGCCTCGGTGTGATTGTGCAGGGGCACATCTGGTCTTCCCTGATTGGCCTAATGTTGGAAGCAGGGGCAATTAGGGGAGCTATCAGTTACTAATCAAGTCCGAGCCACTTTGGGCTGATTCTTGCAGAAGCTATCAGTTGATTTACTGACTTACTAGAAATAGGAATCTGACTTCCTGCAGATCTGACTTCAAACTGGTTTCTTAGGCTACTTATCAGAAACAAGGGAGTTGGTTTCCTGGGCAGGTTGCTGCAAGTGGGGAGTCAAAGTTACATTTTTTTATACATGGCTGGCCTTTTTCTATTTGTATATTGAAACAAAATTCAATTCATTTCAAGCCAAATACCTAAGATTTGTGCACTTTACAATACATACCAGTGTCAGACCCTCAATAAATAGTTAAACAAAGACCAGAGCATGAAAGGTCAGGCTAGTTTTCAGGATGGAAAATTCACCGCTTGCTCTGCATTCTCAGAAAGAGGAGTGGAGGGACCAGCAGTTAGCATAATGGCTATGCTGGACTCCCATGTAGTCTACCACGGTTCAAGTCCCGGACCCGGTGACTTAAACTCATGCTGGGTGCGTGTGTGCGTGCCCAAGATCCCGAGAGTAGAATAGAGGAGAAGGGATTGCAGCGTGGACATCCCCCCTGGGGGGTGACCTCTCGCTTTCTGTCTCTCTGTCTCTCTCTTTCTGGCGATCACATGTGCCCTATAGCAAAAACCTCTCCAAAAAAAGAAAAAAGAAAGAAAGAGGAGTGGAAACCCTAAGCTAAGCCAAACCTGTGGGCAGACAGGAGAGAGTGCAGGATGAGAACGGCAAGTACAGACCTAAAACAGCCAGCCACATCTTCTAATTCAGCTCCACTTAAAATCTAGAGGACATCTCACAGGTCACATAGCCCCCGTAGATCTTACTTTCCTCCTCTGTAGCATGAGAATAATGACAACAGTGGACTGAACTGGGTCATGGGGGCTCTGTGAGTTTAACCCACATGGAAAGCCCCTGGTTCCAGCCTGGAAATCTCCCTGAGTACACCAGGTACATGCACGCCCATGTACATGGGACTGGCTGAGGCTGTGGCATCAGACCCTGGTGTGGTGCTAATTCTTCCTGTCTCTCTATTTCTCTCTCTCTCTCTCACTCGTGGAAAAAATTAATTGGTAACTTTTTTTAAAATGATAATAATAGCTAGTTGTGAGGAATTGATAAAACCACACATATAAAGGAGTTTTAGCCATTAGCCATACCGTGAGGCCCTCTAGCCAACCTAGCAATGATTTTTCCTCGACCAAGACAGCCTCAAAGCTCTCCTTAGCTTGGTTACACTTTAGACAGGCTTCTTCTGGCCTCTGGCCTCTCTTAGAGTGTTCCAATGAAAATACTTGTCAATATAAATTCTTTCTCTGTACCTTTTTGCTTTGACAATTTACATTTTATTTTATTTAGTTATTTTTGTTTGTTTGCTTTCCCTTTACCAGTGAGGATTATAAACGTTGTATTATGAATGCTCTGTTCTATCCAATAATGGCTCTTCTAAATTTTCAAGAATGTACAATCACAGCTCTAGATCCCTGAGGGTTTCTACCTGCCAAAGTAATCTGGTCACTGACACTATAATCTTCCAGACAACCTTGAAAACTTAAAAAATACCAAAGCTACCAGGTCTTCAGTGCAAGACTAGTAAATCTTATCATTTACTCTAGTCTCGTGAGTACAAAATTATATCATTCTAAGAGTTTTCAAAACAGTCAGATTTGGGGAACCAGCAGTTAGCGTAATGGCTATGTTGCTGGACTCCCACGTAGTCGACTGCAGTTCGTGTCCCGGACCTGGTGGCTTAGAACTCACGCTGGGCGCATGTGTGTGCGTGCCCAAGATCCCGAGAGGAGAATGGAGGAGAAGGGATTGCGGTGCGACCATCCCCCCTGGGGGGTGATTTCTCGCTTTCTGTCTATATGTCTCTGTCTGTCTGGCGAGCGCACACGCCCTATAGCAAAAAACCTCCCCCATCCCCCCCAAAAAAAAGTCAGATTTGTGTTTAACTTAGGAAGGAGGATCTTTGCTTAGTAATTACATGAACTTTACAACATGCTGTCTATGGTGAGTTCCTTTTCACCATTCACTCTTTTTTTGAAAAAAAAAAAAAACACAATCTGAAATAGTACATTTAAAAAGGTGTAAAACTAATGCATTTAATATCTTATATGCATTATCCAGCCTAAGAGTATAAGCCTTTACTGGTTCAAGTCCAGGGACCGACCTAAGTACATCAGGCACATGCTTGTTTATGATCTAGGGTTGACTGAAGGCTGGGAATAGATCCTGGCTTCAGGATCCTATTGGGGGTTTCCCTTTTTTTCATCTTCTCTCCCTTTCTCTGTCTCTCTCACTCATGGAAGAAATAAAATTTGAAGAAACAAAAAAGAAAGTGTAAGTACATGGATGGACCAGCAGATGGCATCATGGTTATGTTGCTGGACTCCCATGTAGTCAACTGCAGTTCGAGTCCTAGACCTGGAGGCTTAAAACTCACACTAGGCGCATGTGCATGCATGTCCAAAATCCCAAGAGGAGAATGGAGGAGAAGGGATTGTGGTGTGCATGGACCCT